CCACAGAGAAGAGATGGGTTTTAAGAAGACAGACAGAGAAGAGGCCTGTTTAAAAGAGAAAAATGTGCAAAGAAAGAGTTTTTATTGCTTGTGTGAGTGAACCTCAAAGCTTACTATGGACAGACCAGAGATGTATTATTTTAGTAATTAGTTAGTAGTTTGAAAATGATTGAAACTTAAAATATTTAAGTGTTTTATCAGGGCTGAGTATGATTAGTATGAGTTTGTTTCTAAGAGCATTTTATATGCTGGCGCAGTTGGGGCCCTGAACACCACGACGAGCTAGAGAATGTGTGCAAGTCACGCTTTTGAAGCTGCGTTTGCGGGTAAACGAGCGCTCCACGCCGTGTTCAGAACTGTCAGTGTGCTCCTTCCAGTTTTCTACTACGACTCCCACTCCACTCTTTCAGCCCGTCTCCCCTGCTGGTGGCCTGCTGCGTGTGAGTAAGTCGAGTGCGCGATGAAGGGGTCGTGCTGTTGGTGGGAGTGTCTGTCTCTCTCTCTCTCTCTACTCGCCTTCCAACCTTTTTCTCTGTAGTGGTGGATTAATTGAGCTCTCCGAGGCAGGTAAAAAGAAATCGACCGTTTCCTTTCGGTTTCGTTTCACTCCTAACTTAACTCAAGTGTTTGGGGCTGCTCGAGGTTTCCGTGTCAGAGGTTGTTGTTGTGTTAAAGTATGCGTGTCTGGGCTGCGGTGTAGTCGTACATTTCACATGTTTGTCTGTTGTTGGAAACTTTTGCCCTTAACCACAGAAGCTCTGCTTAGTTTCGGTTACTGGTGTTGGTGCTCATTCCAGTGTTGGGTTATTGTTATTGCGGCTCGGCTGAGTGTGAACCATTAGCTGAGGGTCGGGCCAGTTAAAAGGCCAGCAGCTACTACAGAGGTGGTTTCTTTGCACTTATGTTCGTATGGTGTTTGGAAAAGCAAAGTGGTATCAGAATGTTTTTCACCTAACCTCAGGACCAAAAGGAGAAGACGTGACCTTTTATATACATACAGAGGAAGATACATAAACAGGTAATAGTTGAAGGCCTGGCCTACTGACTAATAACAAACTTGGTGTTGTTCGTATGGCTCCACAAATACTGACACCCTAATATGTGCATATTATGTCCATAATAGTAACTGAAAGTTCACTTTTTGACCCAACACGACTGAAGTTCCTGCTCTCACAGTTGCTATTCCTGCCTGCTGTTCACCTGGAAGACTTGCTTGGCAGAAAAGCGTGTTGCATTGCTATGACAACCTGCGTGAGAAGTCTCAGCTGTGGCATAACAGTGCAGTGTTTTTAATGTGGTGATTTTTAATATTTATTGCACATTTCTTCGGATTGTGATGCATTTGAAAACAGTGTAATTCATGTAAAAGTTGCCTCACTCTTACGTGGGCAAATGTTATGAGAAATGTCCAACTACACTCTGCCCCGTTGCCTTTGACGCAGCGCTTCTTGACAACCTTAATGACCGAGAATCTTCATAAACACTTCTGTTAATTTCCTCGTATCTGTTTCTCTCTCACTCTCTCCTCTCTCAATGTAAACAAACCCAGCTGAGCTCCGAGAGCCTCCGCTTCCTCATCAGGCATTGGCTCCACCCGCAGGATGAATCGGCAGCCAATCGGCAACCAGCTGGGCTCTCAGCATTGCCATAACGACAGGCAGGCAGGAGAGCGTAGTAGTGAGGGTGCCCTTGTGGTCGAGTGGCTTAGTGACCTTGCCTGGGCAGCCGTCCATGCATTGTAAATCAGTACGGTTAGCTTCCAACCGGCTCCTTACACACAGGATGAGGTGTGTGACAAACACCAATATCTGAGTCTGCTTTGGTGGGAAATTAGTTGTTGTTCAGTCATTATGTCTTACTGTGTATACAGGTACATTTTTTGTTAGCCAACAATTTAAGCTGACTGTAATTTTTAATTTTTTGTTTTAATTTTACTGTTATAAATCTATAGTTACTTAATCAATACCTTAACTGTTATTCTTGTATATTGCTGAATTTCCCTCAAATTGTCATTTTTTGTCTTGGAACATGCAGCATTTAAAAAAAATATTGTATTATATATTCAAATGAACCAGAATCTCAGTAAAACAAAACATGCACCCACAAAGTCACAAGTACGGGCTGTATTTGATTTTATTTGGTTTGGCCAAATAACCACAAGGGCACATCTGATGTATTTCTTCAGATTTATTATTTACCCTACCTCCTGCCTGGGAAAAAAACAAACTGCTGAAATCGGGATATAAAAAAAAACACATACAGAAAAAGTTCACACATGCACAGTTTTCCCAGTCCATCCTACAGTACAACTCCTTGAATTATACAGTTGAGTTGACTGAAATGGTGTGAAATAATGTGTGATTTAACGTGTGAAATTGTTACTGTTGTAGCTGCATACCTGCAAATGTAGCTCTGGACTTTGATCCTGCTACTCTGAATACAGCTGCCTCTGCTTCCCCTGGCCTATTTACACACCTGCCATACACACACGCACACACACACACACAAAGACACACATATTTTCACTAAAACAAATGATACTCTTACGAAGTATTCTCTTATATACATACTGCACAACAAGACGCACTCTAGTGTGCATTCAAAATGCATATAGCTTGTACCCTGGACAAAAACACCTATAGACTTGCAGTGTTCTCAACATGAGAGAGATCATACACACGCACATACCTGTTATACTTATGCATGCAATAGCTAATCTCTTATATACACACAGACACACTTTGTACACACATTGTACACACACTCTCCCTCAGTCACCTGCAGCACACTTTCGTGTAGTCTGAGCAAACACACAGTCGGTCAGTCTGTCTGCTTTGCCCTTTTGTTCCAAGGTGCTACTGTTAGTAGACTACTACTACACACATTAACCGGGTTGTACAACATTGTCTGTCACACACACACACACACACACACAGAGAATCCCTTCTACTGCTTACTGAGCAAAGCATGACCTCAGCTGTACACTACTCCGGTCTACTTACTTGGTATTGTGATGGGGGGGGGGGTGCAACAAGAGATTTGTACTGGTGAGTTGCCTTCAGGTGCAAGGTTGCTTGCTTAGGAACCTTTTCCCAGTCACCCTGGATGAGGAGGAGAGGTACTTCTATGTCCTGTAACTGCGCTCCCCTGCTGTGATAGTTGTACAACAGGTTTTTGGGGAAATCTCTTGTCTGTCACCTCGCTGGTCCAACAGCCTCCACATTGCCTGGCTGCTTCCGTCTTTCATCTCTAATTTTGTGCTGTCATACCTCCGCCATATGACGCTGTGCAATATGACCAAAACTGAATTTGCCAATATAGTTCTTTTCATATCCAGATAACAATGTATTTAATGATATGGCACATTTTCTTTAAATTCAATCTAAATAGGTTAGGTAAAATCACATTTTATAATGACAAATTATATTTTTCTATTACATTTTCACTGTACTTTTGTGGCTCTCATCCATAGACACTCTCCGTGCTGTTTGGCATGGTTCTTGCGTAGGTGATAGAAGAGGTTAGTGTTGTTTGAGTCTGTTGTGGAGGCCGGTCTTTGCATTCCTTCCGTACTTTGCATAATTTGCAAATTACGTTTTTTTTCTGGTCCGTGTTAAACTTTTCAAACCACATAAGAGATAACAATTTATTTGTCATTGTAGGCATGCAATGCCCATGTGAGTCGCCCCTCTTTTAGGTACGAGCTCCTCGTTTTGTCTTGGCTTGGACTCCTTCTCCTGTTCAGAATTACCCCGTTCTGTGACACCTTTACTGTCTCCCCGTGCTTGTTTGTTTACTTCATGCAGACTTCCTGCCTGCATCCATGCCGAGTAACGCAGTCCAAATTATGACAAATATTGCCGTAACGAGTAGCATAATCGGCTGTAGTAACCCCCAGGTGGCCGCGGCTCAGTGGCCTGGCCACTTAATTTCTTTTTTGCCCAGTCAGCAGTTGGGTCTGAGTTGCTCTATTCACGTATTTTGGCCCAGCAGAGAGCACATCCCTAACAACCTTCACCTCTGGTGTTTATCAATAGTGAGCCTTGATGGGATAAACCAGTAGCAAAGCCCATTAGAGGGAAAAGCGCATACTCATGGAACGAGAGTGATGATTGTGCATGGATGTGCATTATTCATTTTCAACAGTATATGTGTGTGTGTGCTGTTTCCCAGGTAAATAATAATGACTCAGACACAAAGACAAACTTTGAACATTATATGATATTA